TTTTGGCTAGAACAAATTAGCATTCCTATATCATTAGATAGAAATAATAAATTCAAGAACCAGTGCAAACAAAAAAGGAGTAGAGTGTGAATAGCATTTTACAATTAATCAAGGGAGGTATCTTGGCACCTCATTTTTAAAAAGAAGCAAAACTGTGAAAAATTATAAGTGCCTGCTATTTTTCTACATGATATCTATTCATAAATAGTGAGGTACTATTCTAACACAAATTCATCCATTCAGCAAATAGTCTGTGAATACCTATTATATGCTAGGAACTCTGATAGGCCCGTTGGATGTATAGTGGAATTTAAAGTCGGCAAAAATTGTGAAGTATAAATATCCTATAAGGCATCCATAAAGTACAATATACATTACTTTGTACATAAAATTCAATCTGTAATTGCTTTTCTCAATGAAATTGGGCTGGATCCAGGGAAAGCATGTAATAATGGAATGTATATAAGTGTCTGATTATTTAAAGCATCAAGGCTTTAAGGGAATTATCAAGTCTTTAGCTACAGGAATATGAATGAAAGACCAAATTTTCCTTCTGGCCCACAGCATTTATTTCACATTTGTAGAACAATACATTGTTTTCACATTTAAATATAAAGAATATTAATTCATGTTAATGCATTTATTTTGTTTTGATTTTGAAGTGTAAACATTGTAGTAGTATCCAATTGGGAAGTGGGGCAGTTAAAGTCATGGTGATGAGTTTGCTTATACTGTCTTGAAGGTATTCATTATTGCTCATAAATTTACAGTTAGCTGAGTAATGTTTATGGCTTTATCTGGGCTGTATGTGTGACTGCAGTTAACTGTGAGAGGCAGAAAGGCAACTGTGTTGATCTTCATTGAGTGCTCTCACATAGTTGAGGTTAAGTAGTCTAAGATGGCCTTATCTGGAAAACCTGGGTGCTCTCATCCTTCACATGGTGATGATAGTGTTCTAAAACAGAGTAGAAAGGAAGTCCTCACTTCCACCACATCCTATTAAGCAAAGGAATCACATGGCGGGTGCTACACAGGAGTAGAAGGGAACTATCAAATTACAAAGCAAAGGAAGTCATCAAAGCAGCCAGTCTGTCACTCCTCCAAACAGGCAAGCACCATTGATCCTGTGCCATAATGGGCACATATACCAAGGTTTGTAAGAGTGCTGGGGCAAAGGACCCCTTAAATTTTCTTAGAGCAGAGAGTGTGCTGACTGGATTGACACCTTTGAAAGAAGTTAACATTTTTCCTTCAGAGTCATTGCATGTTCCTTTCCTACACACAGTTGAAGAGCTAGTGTGGTCTGCCTTAATTATTTTTTCTTGTTTTACTTTCATACTATTGACCTGTTGGTCTAGAAGGCCTAGGCACAATGCCTGCATGGTACAACAAGCCACAGTAAATATTCAGTTCTGTTGCCAGAGAAAAACCATAAATCAAGAAATGGCAAGTGTAAGTGATTAACACTGAAGCTAAAACCCAAATCTCCTTGTGCTCTCTTCTGGAATTCTGTGACAGCAACACTTTCTTGAAGGAACGTCTTGTGATCACTGCCAAGAGGACTGAGTGACACAGTACTACCATGCTTAAGTATAAAGTAAATGAGCAATTTGGGGATGGGGGATAGGGGATTTAAATGGGACAGCATCCTTTCATAGACTTCAATGCTTCATGTGAAAGCATTTGGAAAATTCAACAGTCTGGGGTGCCTGGGTGGTTTAGTTGGTTAAGTGGCCAACTTCGGCTTAGGTCATGTTCTCACCGTTCACAAGTTTGAGCCCCATGTCAAGCTCTGTGCTGACAGTTCAGAGCCTGGAACCTGCTTTGGATTCTGTGTTTTCCTCTCTCTCTGCCCCTACCCTGCTTTCACTCTGTGTCTCTCTCTCAAAAATAAATAAATATTTTTAAAAAAGAAAGAAAGTTCAATACTCTTCAAGAAAGAGTAATATCAGTTGGTCAAAGGAGGATAGGAATAGTTTTGAGATACTGGGGCTGAGCAATTTGGGTCTAGAGAGAGTTATCCCAATCCAGCGACAAAAAGAGGCTAAAGGAAGAACTAGTATTACCGTTTCATGGTAAATCCCACATTTTCTGAAAGGCTTTCTGAAAGGCCAGGCCCCAGAAAACCAGGAATCATCTTGGGGAGTTTCCACAGTACCCAACAGAGGTGTATCTCACTACACAAGCACTTTTCTGATCCTGGATATGATTTTTTGCCTCATGAAACTTCCTACCACACCACTCTTATACTCACAAATTTTAAGAGATAATCCTACATAACCTCATTATACACAAAGTTGCTTGGGATCAAAACAATATAAATACTTTCTGACTAAACCACATAAATAAATAAGCCAAAATATTTCTTCCAGTCTTTGTTCAGTCTCAAAGTTTGTTCTCTCCTGAATTCTTGTGGTATCCAAATACTTTGCCAGTGTTTTGCAATAACATTTCTACTGACCTATTTTTGGCAAAAAATAATTAAATTTGCCTGAATTTGGCAATGGAATGTTTAATGGCTTGTTTTTTGTCCACAAACAGAATGTTTTCTTTTAATTTTTATGTCACAATAGGTAGTTTATGCTTATAGTACACAGCTTCAAATGTTTGTACGCACAAGTATTACATTCTTCCTGATCCCCTAACTCTTCAATTTCCTCCTCAAAAGGAGCAACTGTTACCAGTTTTGTTCTTCTCTGAGAGCAGTTCTTTGAAAATCAATCAAATGGTTTATACAAACTCCATTTTACACAAATAACATGCCACTACACAAAATTGCACCTTGCCTTTTTCACCTAAAATGATTTTGGAGTTCATTATTATTATTTCATTACCTACAGACTCCCTCATTCAATTTAATAGCTAAGTAATAATACTTAGACGGATGAATCATAGTTTATTTTATGTACACTATCAGTGTACATTTGGGTAAAAAAAAGTTGAAAGCTTAAATTAGTAACAGCCAATGGTTATGATCATTAATTTCTCTTAGAACACAATCTTGAATTGGCATGTCTACATAGAGACCAAGGTTTATTCTTCTGAAGCTGGAGGGAAGCCCCTAATGAAATTTATGACTTCAGGCAAACCAAAACATAACTTTATCCTTGGCGTTTTGTAAATATTTTTTTACTTTCTCACCTTCTCATATTTCCTCATGCCCTTTTCCGGAAATCCAACCCTTCTTAATTTTCACCAATTATCAGTACTCTTCCTGTTAAAACCCAACTGTCAAATTCCTTCTTGAAGATTTCCACCATGGCCCTTATCACCACAGAGAAGAACTTGATTTTTTTTCTGTTTATTTTAGAGACATATTTGTAACTTCTTCTTATCTGAATTATGGTTCTATAAGTATTAATGCATGCCTCATGTCCTTTGCCAGATTGCATACCCATTGAGGGTAGCGATATATAAAATATAGGGCTGTCCTTTACAGGACTATCAGAAGTCCTTACATGTATTTGTGCTTAATAAATACATGTTGTATAAATATATCCTCAGGTGTTATTCCATTGGAATAACAATTATAGGACCATAAACTACAAGTAACTATGAGTCCTACTCTTAAAATTACTATTAGATATATGTTGGATGGATCATTTAAACTCTTAAAGCATTTGTATTTTAAAATGGGAATAAAATATTGAGATCATCTGTATCACTGGCTTGTTGTGAGAATAAAATGAAATAGTTTTATGTTGAAAAATCTCAGCATTAGGAGAAACTCCAAGGTGTCCTCGTCCAATCACCTATCCATTGCTCAAAATCTCCATATATCAATATCTCGATAAATAAACAATAAATTTACACGTAAAAATTTCCAGAGGCATAAAAATATCTCAGTCCAGTATAGAAGCCCATTTTATGTTTGTGTAGCTCTGACTACTGCTACTGAGTGGGCACACAGTGAAATCTGTATTATGCTACTTCATAATGAATAGTTTGCTACATCTGATTGGTGACTGGTTGCCAACCTCTGAAGCAGGCTCACTCTGGTCATTTAATAAACTGTTCAGTAACTCAATCCACATTTTACAGGATTGGATTCTCTGGACCACATTGATAATGTTGTTGCAAGATTCTTCAATCTTAACTAATCCTCATGATGATTCAATGAACTATAAAAAGTATTCTGTACCTTCTTGCTTTAGTATATGCAATAAGCTGTGCTAGAGCGTTGTGTAACTAGTGAGTTTCACATTGGGTCACTTAACTTCTGTAGTCAAACCAAACCTATCCCAAACATCCTTGGTCATTAACTAACAAGTAATGTATATGAAAACATTTTCAAAGTACCATAACCAATAAAAAGGGCTAATGTTATTAATAATTATATTTTTGCTTTCTCAGTCATATTTTGCTTTCTCATTTTGCTTTGAGCATAAGAAGCAACAAATTTCAAAGGAAAAGTGATTTTGAATTGTTAAAACTTATACTTTAAGAGTATATTCTACACAAGGATAAAATTAATTCATACATATCATCATTCCAGAGTTAACTATACTCTCTATTGAAAAAATAGTGGTAAGACTAAATTGTTTGGTAATTTTCTGTCACAGTATACCAGAATATGAAATACTATATTTCAAAGCAGACTGTACCTGGCTGCATTGAGCTCCTACCTGAATTTATGTGTACCTCTCCTTATCAAACACAATAAGCAGTTGGAACAACTTTAAATGTGAAAATTATGAGGTGTTCAATGAAGATCTAGAAAACTCAAAAATCTCTAGCATCATTATAGCAGAAATATAGATAACGTAATACATAATCCAAAACAGTTTTCCATTTCACCAAATCATGCCACAGAAACACTCATATTTGCTTAAATCTATGCTTCTGTAGGCATATGTCACTCATCCCCTTCTTATATTACTGCTATAACTGGGCAACTAAAAAGATCCAAAATAATCAGGAATATTTTAGTCTTCCAAAACCTGAATTTTTAACTGAGATCTGTAATAAAACATACATCAATGAATGTAAAGGATGCTTACCTTCTGTGTGCACAGCTGACACATAGGTCCAATTGTACCTCTTCACTATGTCCACCATGGCCCGTGCCTGCTGGGCATCTGAAGGAACAACCCTCATGAAGTACTTGAACAGAGTCTTGTCGCTCAGATCCATGCTTGTTGCCGAGTAAGCAATCTGAGGTATGTTGAAAAGCTGGAGCAAGTTCTGGACCTGAATGGCCACAGAACTGGAGCCAGGCCCAATGACCCCTACAATGGGCTTCTTGGAACGGAAGGAAGAGGAAGACCCATCCACACAGCGCACCAAACCTTCTTCTTCTTCTGAAGAAATGAGGGAGTCCCTGATGAACTCAATGCTCTGCTCTAGGGCCACAGCCGAATGCCAGCAGGAATCCCTTATCTCACAGCCCAGTGTGATGTTGGGCAAGAGTGTGGGGTCTGAGTTGATCCTTTCCAGAGTGTGCAGCATGGCCTCCACTCTCTGAATGCCATACTGTTCACGAACTGCCCCACACTTCCTCTCATGAACTTTGTCCACCGTGGGCTGATGGTGAACAGAAAAGAGAGCTCCAATAATGATGTCACCTGGCATGTGAGCCACCACCCTCCTTTCACTGGACTGTGCACTCCCACGGACATCTTCTTTCAAAAGCAGAACTGACAGGATCAACAGAAGGACCATTTTAGGAAAAGAGTTCAAGCTAATAAAGACAGCATGGTGGGGAAAATTTAGGAGACTTCTGATAGATAGAATCAAACAATGTCCTATGTTGGGTGGCAAACCAAGGAATTAGCCAGTAATTTAGATGTGCTCTCTAAAGGACCACCATGTCCCCACGTACCATTTAGTTAGATGCATCCATGTGATCATGATCTTCAAAACCTGGAAAAAAAATAGCATGTGCATTTAACAATGTAAGTGCAGCTACTTTGAGAAGCTCTAATGGTCTATACTAGTAGACTTTGATGATATAGATTAAGATTATAATCTTTTTTAAAAAAGAATCTAAAAATATTTCAGACTCTCCTTTGTCTGTATCTGTTGTAATTTTGTGGTTGGATGAAGCAATCTGATAGAGATTTCACTTCACTTATATTATTTCACTTCACTTATATTAATACTACTTCACTTATATTAATGTTTGTTTCATTTGTTCTTCTGGAGTACACGAAAACAAATCTTATGCATGGCAGGCCAAACTATATTCTTATGTGAAGATGAGAGAAAGCATCCTAAAAGCAAAACTATGCCATGAGCAGAAAACTTCAGGGAGTATGCACTCCAAAATTATAAACATGAGTTATCTCTGGATGATTGTATTTTTTGTTTTTAAAAAACTAATTTTGGGCAGTAAGCATGTATTAACTATGAAATTGCAAAAAATAAAGTTACTTTAAAGAAAAGCTACATAGTCCCTCTTCAAATGCAGTGTAAGGCAAGTTGAACAATCTCCCCAATAAATAAGTATTGTGTCTCATTTCCATATAATATAGTACAAAGACATTATGAGGTCAGGTAGGTATTTCCACGCTAAATGAACTACAGGAAAGGAGGGAGAGACTTGGGATATTACAGAGTAAAATGTTCCCTAAGTAGGTAGAAAGACATAGGGAAATGGGTACCAGTTTGTGGAAAAAATAATATTCAGTTCAAATTCTAGTTCTGCTATTAAGAATTATTAATAAACTGTTTAACCTCTCAGTACCAGAGTTTCCTCATCTGAAAAGTCCCATCATATGTACCAGGATACCTTATGGGAATCAACATAAGATATCAACTATGCAAATGCTTTGTATATTGAATAAGACTATATATATATTCAGGACATGACCTTTTCTGTTATTAAATTTCCAAGGGCATTCTGTAGCTAGGTAGTGAGGACAGAAAATTCTCTGGCAACCTACTCAGTCCTCCAGAGTCTTCAAAGTAATTACAGAGTCCTGTAATAAAATTCACAGTAATCAGTCCTCTATCTCTGATCCAGGAAAAAAAAATTACATATCATGAAGACGCAAAGGGCTGCAGGGATGCATGTTTGGAATTATCCTTCCAGGTAGAAACTTAGTACAGCTTTGAAAGTAGTCATCTATTTCAGTTTAAACTCCTGGGAAAAAGGGATTTGTCCCAAGTTGCCTACAGCAAATTCTAGCATAGTTTGTAAAAGGGAACTGACAAATTAGTGATCTGGATTATTGAAAGAATAAGAGACTTATTTTGTATGTTGTCCTCTCTGCCAGCCAAGGATCTCAACTTGCTTTAAACTAATTCCCTAGGGCACCTGGGTGGCTCAGTGGGTTGAGTCTCTAACTCTCAGTTTTGGCTCAGGTTGTGATTTTGTGGTTTGTGCGTTTCAGCCTTGAATCGGGCTCTGCACTGACAGTGTGGAGCCTGCTTAGGATTTCTCTCTCCCCCCTCTCTCATTTTTTTTTATGGCAAAACAGAAAGGTTCCCTTGCATAATGCTAAATATTAAAATTTTTAAAAAATCAAATAACTAGATGTCCCAAGAATAACTAGGTGCTTAGCAATACTTAGGGCAAAAAATAAGTTTTGGTATAGAAGTTGGCACTGTAGACAAGGAGCACAGAATAAAGACTGATATCATTTTCTCTTTTGGGAAATTATCCGAATATTCTCAAGCATTCCCTTCACTTGCTTAAACCAAAGACCTAGAGATCGATGCTTATTCTCATAAACATGTGAATTCTACTGCAGACAAAAAAATCTTAGGTAAAAGGAATTACAGTGTTTTACTAAATCCACAATGTTAAGGAAGAAACCCAATAACAAAATGAGACTCATTTTTATTACATAAGAGCATCAAAATGATATGCAAGACTAGAGGTGGGCTATCAAAATGATGAAACTAAAGTAGTCCCATGAATTTTATTTGTTAAAATTATTTTAGATAAGACCTATATATTGAGACATAACATATATACATATATATGTAAATATATAACACTGAAATAGTCCTTCCTATTATTTAGCTCCCTATAAGTTAAATTAATGATTTAACTCATTCAAGATATATCTACTATTGAGTGGGAAAAACTAATGTAACAAAGAAGCACAATGATGTACATTGATAATTGCCATCATTATCTTTCATTGAACACCCATCATACACCAGACACTTGTTCATTAACTCATTTAACAAATATTTATGGCTCATGCCTATGCTATGATTCTGTCCTGGAAATTAAATACGCAAGAGAGAACAGGTTGTACATGATTCCTATACTCATGGGGCTTGCAGATCAGTACTCTAAAAGGTGACTTTAGCTGGAGCCTGGTAAATGCAAAGAACAACAAAATAAAGAATGAAAAGAAGTCATTCATGTGAAAAGTGTGGCTAGAGCATAAAGAATGGGAGCAATAGTGGTACAAGATGAGGCTGCAAACATAAAAAAGGGCCAGACCATGTAGGATCCTGTAGGCTCTTGCAAGGAATTTGGATGTTAAGTGCAACAGAATGCCATTGAGGAGACGTAAACAAATGAATGGCACAATTCAATCTTAGAAAAGGTTGTTCTAGCTACTCGCTGTTCTGGATAATGTACAGAAGAAATCTGATTAGAAGACATAAATAATCTAAGTAAGGAATTATAGTGCCTTGGCTATTACTGGGGACAGTAGATATGAAAAGAAGTGGACACAATCAGATATATTTTGCAAGCAGAAACAGCTGGACTTACTGATAGACTGGATGTGCATAACAAGGTAGAGAGAAGTTAGGTTTTGAGTCTAAAAATTAGTGTACTTTGGTACCATTAAAAGATATGGGATCTACTAGTACAGAAATGGATGGAGGTAGAGAAAAACATAGTAATTTTCTTTTGAACACGCTAAATTTGAGATACTTTTAAAGCACATATGTACAGGTGACAAACAGGAAGGTGGGTATATAAGACTGGACCAAAAGGAGTGTTTGGGGTTAGACATATAAACTGAGGGTCACCAATACATAAAATCTTTGCAATGAATATAGTCACCTGGAGAGCAAGTATAAGTAAAGAAAAGGTGTAGCTGAGAAGTAAGCCCCACAGAGACGTCAGATTGTGGAAAAGCCAGCTAAGGAAACAAAGGCAGATCAGAAAGTAAGGAGAGAAAGTAAGAACATGTGATGTAAGAAAAGCCAGAAGAGGATGTCCTGGGCACTTTATATTTACAAACATTACACAAGGCTTGCAGGTTGCAAACAATAAAATACATTCTGTCCTCCCCAAGATATTATTTTCAAAATGCATTGAGTATCTGCATGTGGCATGTGTGTGGCAAGAATCCTTGTGACAACCCTGAGACATAAGTATTATTTTATTATCTCTATTTTACAAATGATGTGGAGGGTTTGATAAGTTGAAAATTATCTGGTCACTCATAGCATAACATATAAAGTTACTGAATCATTGTATTTTATACTTAAAACTAATGTAACATTGTGTGTCAACTATACTCACATACATACATACGTACATACATACATACATACACTAGCTCATCACTTAGAAAGTGATGGAGCTAGAATTTATGTCTATGCCTAGTGACTCCATCATACACTCTTTTCCTTATTCCTTGCTGCCTTACTGTCCCTTCCTTCTACTTCAAAAGTCCATGAAAAACAAGAAGGGCTAGCCAAATACAGTTTGAACATCCCAGGGATATAGAATCTTATAGGAGTTTCCTTGAAAACTAGAGAGTGAAGAAAATTTCAGGAAAAGAGATAATCCAGCACTTAGAATGTCGAAATGTGTATAACTGTCTAGTACAAAAGTATTTATATTGCCCTAGTATCCCCACTAGATTATGGCCTGCTAGATTATAAAGTAATGACTGCTTTGTAATCCTCCCCAGATGTACACAATGGCTATATTTCATCAATATTAGCTATGAAGCTCAGATACCTGAAAAATACATTTTAAAATAAAGTATGACTTGGAAATTTGACAGAATTGTGCTACAACTTAGCTTATTATAAGGTTAAACAAGTGAGCCCATGTGTTCCCAAAATATAAGAAGTAAATAGAACACAAATTCCAAATAGACTAGTAGGGTATACACTAGCTCTAGCACCATCACTCATCTGTCCAGCACGTGTTTATCAGTACCTGTTCTGTACCAAGCACTCTTCCAGGCCCTGTGGTTTCAGTTATCAACAAAGTAGACATAAATCCATGTCCTCCTAAAGCCTATACTCTAAGGTGGGGGTGGAGGGTGGGGGAAGAGGGATTGTCAGGCAATAACCAAGATAAGGAGGTAAAATATTGTATGTACACAGTAATAAGGGTTAAAAAGAAACAATACATCAGGGAAGGAAGATAGAAAGTGTTAGAGACATGGGGGAATTTTAATAATGTAGCCAAAGAAGTAGAAACTTTAGGGGCTTCTGGGTGCCTCAGTCGGTTAAGCGTCCGACTTCGGCTCAGGTCACGATCTCATAGCTTGTGAGTTCGAGCCCCACGTCGGGCTCTGTGCTGGCAGCTCAGAGCCTGGAGCCTGCTTCAGATTCTGTGTCTCCCTCTCTCTCTGCCCCTCCCCTGTTCATGCTCTGTCTCTCTCTGTCTCAAAAATAAATAAACATTAAAAAAAAATTTTTTTTAAAAAGAAGTAGAAACTTTAAAAGTAAAATCTGGGTAAAAACCTAAAAGAAGTAAGGGAATGAGTCATGCAAATATCTAGGGAAAGAACATTCTAGATAAAGTCACAATCAAACGCAAGGCCCCTGAGGCCAACTTCTGCTTAGTACATTGAGGAACAGCAAGAAGGTGAGTATGACTGCAGCGAAGCAAAAATGGGGACAGAGGAAGCAAAGTGGGGAGATAGTAAGATCATGTGGATTCTTTTTGGACTTTAGAAGTCTGGGCTTTAACATCATGCGATAAT